CGAAATATTCGAGACTGGACAAACATGACTGTAGACGAATTATTCCACGTTGCAAAAGACAGAGAAGCTTTTAAAAATGTGGTCGCCAACCTCCGTTAATGGGGACGGCATAGGAAGAAGATATATATATATATATATATATATAATATATATATATATATATATATATATATATATATATATATTAATATATATATATATGTATATATATATTATATATATATATATATATATATATATATATATATATATATATATATATATATATATATATATATATATATATATATATATATATATTCCATAAACTTGGTTCATTTTGATACAAATTTAAAAAATCCAAAATAACTTCGTTTGTCCATTCCATTTTTTAGCAAAAAACTGCAAAACAACTTTGACAACACTACAGACAACTACTCGTAAGAGCGAATAAAAAACTTCTGACTTGCATTTGTCGTCTGTTAAAACACAGACGCGCAGAATCCTTGTATTCTGTGATGAAATTGCTGGACGAAAATAAGTTAAGAAGTTCAATAATTACAATAATTGTACACATAAGGATATCTCCAAACTATTTTTTAAAGATTATTTATTGACACAAACAAAAAACTGACATTTCGAATGTACAACTCTCCAATGACGTCACGACTTATGCGCAATATCTTATCTTCTTATCCTAGTATCAAAGAATATTAGACGTCTGATTGTTTATTATTCCACAGTATAAATAACAACAACAACCAGTATTCTCACTCTGCCGCGGTACCTTTGATCTTTTTAAGGCGGAGTCCCATGCATCCGATTTCCGACGACACGATGATCCGAAAGTATTCTCATTGGTCAGAATCTAATCAGAATATTTTCGCGCTAAATTTCATCCGAAATTTTTAACTACGCTTCCGACATCTTGTTCTAACAAGATGTCGGATAAACAAGATAAGATAAAATTGTTTTAACTTTTTCCGACAAAACGGATGTTTTGTAACCTAATTGTATTCCAATAGTTTAAAATCTGTACATTTAATTTATTGAAACATGAATTTATTCGCTGTGAGTTTCGCCGGTAGCGCTCTCTCGCGGTTTGAAACTTGTACTTTTCTTGTAAAATCAGTGTAAATGAAATATGACAAAACGAGAAAAATAGATATTTATTTAAAAATACAAAATAATGAACTGAAATATTATGGTAAACTGATTAATGAACGAATACACAGAATTAATAGTAAAAGTAATTACGCCTTGTTATTTTATTCATTATAATTATAATATTTAAGATATAAGTTCTTGCGACTGGATGACTACTTACGCAAGAGGTCATTGAGAAAAAGAAGAAGTTTATATGAAAATATTTAATGGTTAAAGCAAATATTTAAGGTTATAGACGCTTAAAACGTCTATATTCTGGTTACCTATACCTCTGTAACGTTGTAATTCTTGTTTTTATTTTACATTTTTATTCTGTTTTTGCTCAGTTATTTTTTGTGTGCGTAGGCCTTAGTGCTTAGATATCAATTTGTTTTAATTCTTCTTCTTCTTCTTTCGTTTTATGGCCTCCACCTCTTAAATTTGTGTTAATTTTATCAAAATGGATATTAAACATTATACTGGTTTTAAGTCTATATCACATGATATCCCATTTCAACCAGCTACACCAAAAAAGGGAAAAGGTTTAGTTGATGCAGGGCATGTACGCAATGTTTCGAAATATAATGACTTTTTAATTTTACACCATACAAATATCATGTTTGCATTATAGGTTATTTACTTATTTTTCTCGTTGATAGCAATAATCCATTTTTCTCTTTGAACTATTTTATGCTTGGCAACAGGAAATGAATAAAATTTACAATGACTGTTGTACCCAGTATTTTTACATGTATCATATATTTTTCTTTTTGAAAAATCCATATTCGCCATTATTTGAATGTTTACAAGTTAAATGCACAAAAACTGCCACTAACAGCGTTGGTGAAAACTGTCAAATCCCCTCTACTCATCGGCTCACAGCGAATATCGAAGAAGCTATGCTCGTAAAGTTAATAAAACGCTATTATTATGTCTGCTTCTTTTAATTCGCAAAAAAAACAAAACATACAATTCGACAAAGAAAATATTGGGTTAGTTAAATATTTCAGTAAAAAAAGTCACAAGGGGCTTTTAATAATCTATTGCACTCTTGCACGAAATAAAGCTAAATGATGTTGATAAATATTTGCAATTACCTTAGAATGCGTAATTGCACATTTCATAAGTTACATAGTTTCTTCTACGTTATCCATAATAAACTGAGTAATTGAAAGCAGGAGAAGGGATTATATACCATGCGGAAATAATCCTTTCTGCTGTTTTACTATCCAAAAGTGGTAAAACAGCAATTACCAGCCAAACCACCAAACAATAAACAAAAAATTGACAGTTAACAGTTTATACGAATTTTCGTATCCGATAATCGCATCCATGTGACTAGCTTCCAAATAGCAACTACGAAACCATCAACCATACGATTTTCGTATGTCGCCGTCGGAAATTGGATACATGGGACTCCCCCTTAAAGGTCGATTCACACACATCAGTCACGTCATAGTCACGGTACCGAACCGGTCCTGTTTGGTCACAGAACTATCTGACAGCTGGCAAACTGTTCGTCAACTGATGAGTGTGAATGCTGGTGCCATATTTGTATTAAAGAATATTTTGTATGACGGATTGTTCGATTCGGCGCAATCACTGTGACGAGATGGTGACGAGACGTGACTGATGTGTCTGAATTGACCTTAAAAGTCCAAATTCGGTGACCTTGACGCCATATTGTTTGGATGAAAACCCTTGACTGGCACTGCACATATGGACGCGACAGAGCCGACTTTGAGCTTTTTCTTATAACACTTGTTGATGTACTTTTACTTTAGATGTCTAACGAAATCGTACAAAGTGCTAAAAGTAGCGCCATCATGTTAATGTTAAGAATGTATTTGTGGAAATAAAAAATAAATTTTTAACTGAACTTCATTTATTATTACATGTTACATTAGATATTACATTTATTTATTTATTTATTAATAACAAAGGTGACAGACCCACTGTCGAAATTACACAAAAATACATTGTAGATAAATATAATTACAGATAAAAATCAAATATACATGTATAAAATAAGTACACATTATTAAGTTTACAATGTATCATTTTGTAGTTCAAAATTTCAGAAGTTAAAAAAATTCTATCTCATGAGCACTGATTTGCATGTATGAGAAGTCAGATCATATGCCTATATTTGAACCATCGCAGAACCCGCAGTTCTGCGATGAGATACATGGAAATGTAAATTCTGATGCAGTGAACGCGAAGGAATATGAAAAAAAAAATTAGCTAAAGCAATTCAGGAGTATGGATTATTCTATAAACAATTGCTTTTGTTCAAATATGATTTTGAATCCTATTTTACATTGTTGTTTACTTGATCTTGATTAATGTCAATAATATAATTAATTATTAATTCATTAGAAGTAACACTCTAATACATTTTTATGGAATATGATAAAATATCTTAGTTACATCTCACAAAAAATACAAGAGGATGTGAAGAAAACTCCTAAATGGGTATATTAATTATTGATTGATATTATCTGTTCATTGTAATAAAAAGTTGTATTTTGATTTGTAAATTGTTGTAAACAAGTAAATAATGTTTTATTGATGTGTCCATATAATCAATCTATTATATTTTCTTTTTGTTTTATGTTTATGAATGAAGGAGAGAGTCAAGTATACTAATAAAGTTAACAAAATCACCAGTAGGCATTTTTAGATTACCAAATGTGTCACCAGTTCTATTTTCATATGCCCTAAAATATAAATATACAGTAGTAGCTGACAAATTAAATACACTTTTTGAGTATCTGCCACATATTTCACAACTATGGAATTCTAAACATTTTTTCATTAAATATCCACACAAATATGTTATAAAATTTATTACCCACTGTCAAAATATACAAAAAAACAATTTAGATATATACAATATACCTATACAATTACAGATACAAATTAAATATACATGAATGAAATAAGTACACATTAAGTTATACAAAGTATCATTTTGTAGTTTAGAATTTCAGAAATTATACAAATTCTATCTCATGAGCACTGATTTGCATGCATGAGAAGTCAAATAATGTAAATTCTGACACAATGAACGAAGAGGAATATGAAAACAAATTAGCTAAAGCAATTCAGGAGATTGGATTATTCTATAAACAATTGCTTTTGTTCAAATTTGATTTTGAATTTTATTTTACATTGTTGTTTACTTGATCTTGATTAATGTCAATATAATTAATTATTAATTAATTAGAAGTAATGCTGTAATACATTTTTATGGAATATGATAAGATATTTTAGTTACATCTCACTAAAAACACAAGAGGATGTGAAGAAAACCCCTAAGTGAGTATACTAATTATTGATTGATATTATCTGTTCATTGTAATAAAAAATATTAAATATGTAATAAATTGTAAATAATATTTTATTGATGTTTCCAAATAATCAATTTATTATTTTTTCTTTTAGCTTTGTTTTCATGTTTTTGAATCTTGAAATTTCTATTAATGAATTTTAATGAATAGTACAAACGTACAAAGCTAAATAAAGGTTATTATTTAGCGTATGGACTTTCACAGTACGATAAATATACAAATACAATTACAATAATATACACATATATATTATTTATATTATTCAAACACTAAAAATAAAGGTATCCATTATTTTAGTGGAAATTGTTCACAAGGGTGGCTAAAATCACATTGTCAATATACTTTTTTTCTGCACACTGTAACTTCTGAAGTTTTTTTTTTAAATAATGATTTTCTTTCCGTAATTGTATAACTGTACTTCGTAATGCTTTTTTTTCAGGGAGTATTTAATGATAATTTTTGTGACACTAGGGTTGAACTTGGTGTTGAACATAGCGGTGTTACTGGCCGTGTAGTTACATGTTAGTTTCCAGGTTCACCATGGAATATGTTGTTACCAGGAGTAATAGTATTATCCTGAAGTACAGTTATAGTGGATGGTTTATGTTTAATACTAACATTTTTCTCTATATCCATAGATGAACTTTTCACTATTTCTAAAAGGAAAAGAGAAAGCTTACATATGTGTTACTTTTTAATTATTTATTTTATTTACCTTCATTAATAGGACATCTTAGAAGACATATGTTTTGGACTACTGCAGAATAAGTATGATCAAAAGTTGATGAGCCCTCCACTAAAGGAAAGTTTGTGGGAACTGCAGAAGGTTGTAATCGATTTCTCATATCATTCAGAAACATCTTATTGTCGAAATGAGTACCACAAAGACGATGACTTGTATGTAAACGTTCTGCCTTATCCAATAAATCTTCTCGTCCACATGCCATTAACCAAATTTTTGCCCTAAATACAAACATTTTTTTAATATACGATGAAAATCCACTAAACCAATAAATGGTAATTATTTACATTAGTGAGGATAGTCGGATTAGTCTGAAATTTGGACAGTGGACGGACTCACCTATTAACATCTTTTGGAAACGAAAAAAAGCTAACACTACTTTTTCTAGAATTATTACAACACTTTGTAGCTGCACAAGTGTGGCAAGGCTTTTTGTTTTTATTTTTGTACATATCGACGTATTTATTGCGAAATAAAAAATCTCTAAAGATTATTTGTATCTATAAATACACAAAAAGTAAACAAATACACAATGGCCGTGGCCTGAGGCAGGGTTGCCAGACCGATTTATAAAATTCCCCCAACCTGAACTTCAAAATCCCCCAAAAATGACCTTTTTAAAAAAAAATCCCCCAAAATTTTAAATGTATTTATTTATTTATTATTACATTTTGCAAGTTGGTTATATATGTTTTATGCATAGAATAACTTTTTTTATAGAACTTTTCATCTATTCTCATTTGGTTCGAGCTTCCGTCATTTAATCCGGGTATATTAACAAAGAATATAGACGCTTAAGCGTCTATATTCTTTGATTATATCGTTGAGTTGCGCCAAATGTAGGCAACCAGTTTAAAGTTTTTGGTAGCATTTAGCTTGAGTTTATTGAGAATATTTTTAATAAACGTTTAATTTTTTCTAGATAATTTATTATTTTTAGAAAAGTGATGATAATGATGAATAAGCAATATTTCAAATGATATTTATATTATCACAAAACGTACTCAATATTGTGTTATATAATCTACAGAATAAAGGATATTAAGATAAAAAAGGTAAAATCCCGGATCGTCCAAAACGTTAGAGACCGACCGAATGTGATTTTTTTGGCCGCAGCCGATGCTGAAGATCTGCCTGTAGGATACCTTCGGCCGAAGCCGAAGGTAACTAAAAATATACCTATTATATGTTAATAATTTAACTGATAAGTGGTAAACAAAAATATGAAATTATTAGATAAAAAAGTCAAATATATATACATTATTTGGTAATAGAAGCGATAATAAAAATAAATAACATTAAAAAACATTAAAGCAAGTGGGTATTTCTGATTACTGGATCTGGTATTTAATATTCGAAATCCTAATAACATACTATACCCTGTTTTTTAACCAGGAGGAGTAAACCAAAAAGACAGATTCACACCCAAGAAAATTACTAGAAAAGTCACCAAATACATCTTCTTTTTTTGTTGTATATCTCGGCCTTGCGGTAATTGAGTAACCAATATCGGACAACCTTACACGTCAATTCTAACCTAACTTTTGTTTTAATAACATTATTTTTTAATATTTTAATTCACTTCCAATATATATTACAATTATTATAATAAAAAAGGACGTTTTTCACATTTGGTCCCATGTATATATATTTAAATATAGGGTGATCCAGTTTGATAGATCTTTTGAGTCGATGGTACTTAATTTAGAGAATATTTTGATCCAGAGAATCAATAATGTTACAGATCTACATAAGTATGGTTTTTCACAGAAAGTTGTCTTTTAATTTGCAAATAGATCTTATATGCAACAACGCTATGCAAATGCATGTATCAAAAAGTTAGAGAGAGTTCAAAGATTTCTGAAATACTGTTCTTTTAAACTGCGTAGACCATATTCTTATTCTGGTGTGATTAATTTCTTGAATCTAGGTTTTTTTTTACCAGAAGAATTAACTTTGACTTTGATCATTATTTTTAAGCTTAGTAATCCAATCTCCTGAATTGCTGCAGCCAGTTTGTTTTACATATTCCTTCCCATTCACTGATTTAGAATTGACTTTTTCATATTACAGAATAAATTATGGTTCAAATATAGGTGTGGTCCTACTTTTCATGCATGGTAATTATGTATAAATAAGTGTGTACTTGCAATTTCTTTAATGCTAGATTCTTGTTTAATTTTGACAGTGAGTTTGTCCCATTTGTTATCAATAAATAAAATTTACTAAAAAATACTGGATTTCTGTGAGATAATCAACTAATTCAATTTATTATGTTACATTCTATTGTCTATTCGCTTAGCTAGGGCATATTTTGACAGACTCATTGTAGGAAACCTACAACACAACAATTCCTACTTCTCAGTATTAATAGCTCAAGTATACTACTATTGCAGACTTCTTTCTTTGAAAAAAAGAAGAATTATTCTAAATAGTGGAAGTGTATACTAAACCCATCAAATTTTCCCTGTATATTTAAAATATAATATTTGAATTATTACAATTTAAAATATTGTAGTAAATATTTGTATTATGTGCGTTGTTTATTTAATTTAATATAGTTTTATTGTTTTATTATCTTTGTTTAATTCTTTTGTTAGTTCTATTCAGTTAATTAGTTAGTTATATTTTAAATTTTATTATTATGGATAGTCAAAGTTTTCCATATTTGTTCCATCAGCTAATGCGTTGGTAAGTTTTTCTTAATAAATATGATAACATGTTTTTTAAAAGTTAATATTTTTAGATTAGTTGTTTCTAATTTAATATAAACTTGTTTATACCTACATGGAGGTTTTTGTTGTTTGTTTGGGTTTATATGACTGCAGACTGCGGCCAGGACACTGAATTCATTCACTATATGTGGAAGATTTTAACATCCTCAAATATGCTAATGAGCAAAAATTACTATTGAACCACGAATTTGCCTAGTCAAATTACTAATATTTGCTTTTAGCATATGGAAGTACATTTATTTTGTAAGATAATAAAACAACAGTTTATGTTACTGCTATCCAATGAACTGTTAATCTTTAATCATTGATTCCATCCTAGTCACAACATAAGGAACTTGCTGTGTCTTATTTAACCTCACTTTGACTTTTTTAATTTTGTAGAATTTATTCAAACTTTTTTTATTTTGTACAATAAATAATTTTATTATTTGTTACCAATACATTATACGGTGTAAATAAATAAATATTGATTGTCGGCAAAGTTCTATTTTATTAACTTTTGTTTACATTAATATTGACTAAGAGCACGTATGCTTGGTTGTATAGTAATTTCCAGCCACTTCGAGTATGTCAAAAAGTAACTAACTTCGCAAAAAAATAATTACTAAAATCACTAGACAGTTCGGACTGGGAATAGCGAACCGGGTATAGTATAATTTTGTAGTTTTCTTGTGATGATTTACAACAGGAAGAACAAAACCAACTGTATCAATACAATCAAAGTAAAACACAACATTACTAATGTTCTTTTATTGTGATAAAAACAAAATGAAAATGCTTCTTAACAAGTATACACAAATTTAAAAGATAGTTGCCGTTTTTCTTATGATAATTAAATATAAATGTCACACATTTATAAATACTGTAAACTCTATTTATTACATATATCAGCTAGAAAAATATCACATTAAATACTATTATCGCATATCACCAAGTCCAAATGAACAACTACACCATTTTGAATTTCTTGATTTATTTTTTCAGCAAAAACTGAATCTATTTCAGATATTTGAGCAAGAAAGTTTTGTTTTTGGTCAGCAGCCCAATGTATAAACTATTCTTTGAATAATTTCCCCTAAAAAATAAATATGGTAAGACATTCATAATATACACAATAAATCAATCGTCCTATAAAGTAAGATAAACAATCTACAGATTGAACGAAATAAATTCGGAACATAGGAATATAATGTATTTCGGCTCAATTCTGCTGTAGGTGGTTGGCCAACAAAATATTGTCAAATATTTATATTATAAAAATCCAATACTTCAGTGCGCTGCTGGATTCTGAACTCATAAAAATTGAAAGCTACACATAAATCTACGATTTATGCTGTCAAACCAGTTATAGTCCAGGAAATAAAGCATTTCACCTCGCAATTATTTCGTGCTCCCTGGATTGACTTGAAATTTAACAGAGGGTAGGTAATAGCCTAAGGATCAAAATCTATATCGAACCAAAGTGCGCCAAAGCCTAGGGGGTGGTTGCCACCCCATCTCCGGGGTGAAATTTTTTTTTACGTTTTAACTACAGGTTTCGATTAAAAAAGTGATTCTAAACAAAAAATGTGCTATACATTTTTTTTATAAAATGATATTTTTCAAATTATCCGCGATTGAAAGTAATAACTTTTAGACGAAAAAATCCACGTTTTTAATCGATTTTTCGCGAATAATTCGAAAATGGTGCATTTTATCAAAAAAATTGTAGAGAACAAATTTGTAGGTAGCTTTTAAAAAGACAAATACAATTCATTTTTTAAAATGTTTTTGGGATATAACAGGAACCGAAATACGGCCTATTAATGTTCAGCGGTTTTCTTCAAATGCCAAATTTGAAAGATTCAAAATCAAATATCGGGAAAATGATGCATTTTTGGAAGAAAACTCACAAAACCTTTTTTAAAGAGCATAAATAGACCTATCATAAAAAAGACTCTAGCTGAAAAATTGAGTGAGTTATGATGAAAATAAGGTCAATACCTCATTTTTTACGAAAAAATCGATGAAAACAACCCCCTAACCACCCCCATAATTAAAATCGATCTTCACCCTTCTGAAATTTCCTTTGTACATGTATTGTTAATATGTCCAAGAAGTTTGACCCATTTAAAATGCTTTGTGTTATAAAAAGTACAGCTTAAAGCGGGAAACGATTTACAATTTCATATTTTTTACCCTTCTTTTTTTAAATATGCCCGAAAATACTGAATATATAAAAAAAAATACAAATTACCAAATTGTAGCTTTTTTAACGACTAAAATTATCCTTTATTTAGATTTGTTGTACAATGAATATTTGGCAAGATATAGCCGTTTAAAGCATCGATTTACGATCAAGCACCATCTTTTTCGATCCCTTTAAACTCACCCCATTTAAAAACCAAGGGTTCCAAAAAGATTTAATTCACAGATTCTTGTAGCTCTTAAAAACCTCTACAAATCGTTTTTGTAGAAACACTCTATCGTTAAAAATTAAAGGAAATACGTTAAAAAAAACCAGTGAATTTTTTTCCGGAAAATTTTATTAGTATAGTACAGTACATTTCGGAGCATAGTAATCTACAAAACCGGTATATTAGCTAGTGGGGCGTTATACATTCGAAATTTTAAGCGTTCTTATTTTGAAATCCCATACAACAGAATAAAACATCTGCTCATATGTCTATGGCTTGGCAATGAAAATATTAGAGCAACAGATTGGGGATGGTATTCCA